CTATGCTGTTTTCTTTCAGAAACAGAATTACAAATAAATTGTCCATCAATGGCCTAGTTCTGGCCTCTTCTCCGTTATTTTAATAGTTGCGTTTAATCCCGCATTCAATTTACCATTTCTCCAGTCTTCAATAGTTAACAGCAATTTTTCACAAGCCTCTTTCATCTTGAAATGCCTTGCCAAAATTCATCATTAATGTAGCACATGTTAATCGTCAGGATTGTTAAAAATACCCTTTTTATTATTCGCTATCAAGCCCGGTTGAAACAAGAGCTCCTAATACCCGATACTTCCATTAATAAAGTTCATGGTCTCCAAAATAAGTTTACCAGCTCAAATATTTTCAAATCGTATCCTTTATATATGCAATAGTCCTTTTCCTTCCACGTATTCACGAAAACCTCCTTGCGTAAATACACAGCTTCCAGGCCTGGCAACTTGATTGAGAGCTTAGTCATTCTAGGTCGCTTAAGGCGACATAAGGACTTACGGCTAAGCTTGCCTACAATAAAATGAGTGGGCTTTACAGCGCTATTGAATTTATATTATCCTTGCCTGTTAGAAGGCTATCCTCATCCAGGATGGACTGGAGTTTCGACCACCTCGGTCTAATCACTATCTTCAACGGGTCGTGAGTACGAAGGCAACCATGTGGTCACGGGTGCCAATGGGTCACTGGGCCAATATGACATTCAAGGCAAGCCTGTCCCCTTCCAAATCACTACTACTCGATGACCGCGCCTACCACACTATTCTTGGTTTTCCAGTCAAGATTCTTAGATTATCTGAGTGTGCTAGAACAAAACAAAAACAATGGATGACAGATTGGCTGATGCATCTCCAGAATTTAATATGTTATTTTCTTTCGTCATTGCCCGTTTTATTTTCTCGGCTATCCTGATGACGCTGCCCTTTTTTAAGTCAGCTGTACATACCCGCTGCTTCTGATGGCCCTTCATGAGGCTCTATAGATTTATTTCCTTTTTACCTCCTGCACCGGTTTTATAATACCTTTAACTGTGCAGTCCGCGAATCGTAACCAATTTACTAAAAAAATATCTATTAATTAACCATGCCGATATGAGAAGCAACCAGTCCTTGATCGCATTCAACCGGGCTAATCTTTCATCCGTCATCGCGGACATCATCACAGCTGAAACTCATTATTTCAAAATTCCCAAGTTAACACTGATTTAAGTAGACTTAGGGCTTGCAATGAGTTCCAGCTCTGATGATGATGGATAAAAGCTTAGCCCAGTTTTATCCGAAGCAAGTAAGGATGTATTGTGGATTACGCCGACCTTATGGTCGTATTAAATCCTAACAGCTGCACGACAATGGGCATTGGCCGTCGTCTTCTGGTACGATCAATCACCCAATCTCTTCATCATTAAGGTCTATAATTATACAGGCAGGCCGGCTTAGATTTCAATTCGGTCCTGATGCAATCACCTTACCTCCTTCGAGGGTAGTCCTTTAGGCACAGAATCAACGACACTTTCTTTGAAGGACTTTGTTTGCGACATGGGCGCTATCAGCGTGATCCTACTTACGTAGAGGTCCAACCGACTTTACCATCTAGCAGATTCTGATGCGAGGGAGAAATAAGAATCACACGTAGAAGTGGCACACGCAAGAGGCACTCAGTTGAGATTCAGGAGAGAGAATACCTCAGTTGAAAATAGGGTGCGTTCATGATAATCTGGTTTAGATTTTACTTTGGACAAGAGTTGGGAATTTCCCTCGTGTGTTTCCATTAAGAGGGAACCTTCTCAGCTTTCTTTTTTCTATCGTTGATCTCTTATCTCTTATCCACGCATTGTCCCACGAAAAATTATCTAGTCTTATCACTTTTGTCCTTCATCATACTTGTTTATATGCTATTGGTGAGTCAATCTATCAAGGATGCAGTCATGCCACTTCTACCACAACCAAGTTTATTTGTATGCATATATGTACATGCACGCATGCATATGTACATCTCAGCAGAGTCAATTAGAGCAGGTTGTGAAGACTTCAACCACAATAAATGCAACACCATGCTTGTTACCACATCTACGCTTATGGAAATTAGCCTTTACGTTATTCAGGGTTTCCACGTAAAAATGTTCTTCCGATTTTATAGGTTCAAAAACTCTGTCAGTAGACATCAATCATCGTCATATTTATTTTTGAAAACCTTTTTCTTATACCTGCTGCATGATCTATAGTGCAGCTGCAGCTCGGTGGTTCTTCGTTTTCAACTCAATTTTTTTTAATGCGGTAGCGTATGTTTTTTACATCTGGTCCTCAAAAACTGTGAATCGCTGGTCAGTTATTATTTGATCTGCTCTACATTCATTGAAGATAAAACTTTGTCCATACAATCAACCAAAATCAACACTTAAAACGGCATATCTTTGTAGTTCTGGCATCACGGAATTTGTAATGAACCAATCTTTTCTTCTAGGTGAATTCAGAATATGGATAGGAATTGGCAAAGGCTATCTTTTGTAAATTATCAAACCGAATCTTACTAATTCAATGGAGTTTTTTAGGCTAAATCCACATGAATTAGTTTTACTCTCCAGTTGGGGAGAGTGGAGTGATCTTTAGATCTTGGTAAGGCCCAACCCAAATAAAAATTTTCTTTTGTTTTATATGGCTCATTAAATTATACGGCAAAAGTGAGTCTCATTTTTTTACCCAAAATGGCAGAATAACTTTATTGTTCGTTTATAAATAAAGTTTCGAGACTACCAATGAATCAGTTATATGAGATCTATTCATCCGATTTTGTTTAAGGTGATGAAGGACTAGTAGTTGAATTTTCCCACAATTATACGAGTAGAGCTGACTTTTTCATTGAATTTCGCATAGCCTTGCTTCCTAAAAGTTGTTCTCATCCAAGCTGAAGTGGACTGTAGTTTCGACCTCGCTTAGGCCTTATCAATACCACCAACAGGAGTCTAACCATGAAGGTGCAGTGCGTAGTCCCGACACGTTAACCACTACTCCACGTTGCCACGAGTCCCATGAGTGAATTTCAAAGAAGACCAGTTATTTTTCCCATGTCACATGTAAGGTTTTATATCATTGTTCGGAACTTCAACTATCAGTCCTCCATCACCTTAAACGAAATAGGGTGAATACATCTCATATTACTGGTTTACTGGTAGTCTATAAATTTTACTTATATACGAAAAAATAACTAACGTAGTTGATTGTTATAGCAAAAATGCGTTTGCTTCATCGACAATCCCATCAAAGAATGTGATATGGGAAAAGGCCTGGCCTTACTTGAAATTCACATCTGCCCTGTGACCCAAGGGCACTCGTGGCAATGTGGCCGAGGGTTTAACGTGTCAAGCTCACATACTGCATTGTCACGGTCCGACTCGCGCTGGGGGTGTTGATATGCGTTGATATGTATTGACCTATTGAGGTCGGAACTGCAGTCCACCCTGGATAAGAACAACTTTTTGGAAAGCAATAGAAACGTCACTTTTACTCATATCATTGTGGGAAAATTCTACTACCACGAAATAGGGTGAATACATCTAATAAACCTTGCCTTAGTCTGGTTTTTGTTTGGATCGAATTATGTAATCTAGTAATGTTTTGAAGAAGTGTTTCCTTAATCAAATCATAAGATACTTTTATACGATCCCTCTTAGTTCTATTTGCAAATTGGATCTATCTAGAATACAAAACTTAGGTATAATACTACGCGAAGAACATACTTTCAAAAATCGAATATGATTAACTTGCCTGGCCATTCGTTTCTTGGTCTTTGGGTCAACTGATGAGTTTCGAAAAGTTTGGTCTCCATACCTGCTCCTGAGCTGTGTTCCGAATAATCCCTTAATAGGTTGATACTGGCATACCATTATGAATTCTTGCATATATATTAAATTTGCTTCAAGGGTATGCTAGAAGAGTTCTGCTATAAAATGAAGTCTTATTTTTTACCTATCCATAATTTATGATTAATGCATTTCTTACTGGTATACGGGACCTCGACTAACATTGGCTTATATAATGCAGAAAGAACAAAGAGCGGGGTTGCACAAATTGTTTACTTAATCTCAGCTAATCGCCATGATTATTTCTTGCTATTATTATTTGTGTGCATACACTTTCGCCTTTGTCTAATTCCTATCTTTGTTTTCATATTCCTGAATTCTTGTTAAACCAAGATGAATGGGCGCGGAAATTTGGAGTGAGAACTTGTATTTCACTTTGTTATTTATTCATTGCTCGCTTTTTTGTTGGTTCCGATTTAAAATTTATCTTATTTCTCGCATGAGGCTTCTTTTAATTTGCATTTTTTTCTAATATCTAGATTCCTTCACAGAACAGGAGATCACTGACCTGGTTCGAGAGATGGAAATGATGAAAGTGTTAGGCAAGCACCCAAACATCATTCAACTCTATGGTGCTTGCACTCAAAATGGTATGTTTCCTCCTTTTAACTGAAAATGCACCACAGGACGCATAATCATAAAGGAAATTCAGGCTTCTAAAACCTTATTATTTTCAGACCAGGTCCATCTCTCATTACACGAGGGCAAATTAAACTAAGTTCCAACGACACTGCCATTAACTCAACAATCTTGCGAACGTTCCTCCAAATTCAGTAATGTAGTGCGAAATATTTCTGTAAAATATTATCCTCCCAGGATATATCCTTGTACGTCAGTATTTTCGTGTTCATGGACACCTCCGACTTCTTTTTTTGAGCAATGGCGCTTAGGCTTAATCCTGAATTTTTCTTTTATCCAGTTACACGAATGTCTTTTCATGCGATTCACCTTTGGCAATTAACTTCTGGCTTGCCGTCAATAACTACTTTTAACAATTGAGGTGTGATTGTCATGCCTTTTCGTCGAATCCTATCGCTTCTTAAAGAGAAGCAGCTCTTTTAATTTACTTAACTGGCCATCTTTCGCGATTTGTGGTCTCTAAAGCATGGCAAATGGCCGATATTCGCCAGGCCATTCTTATCTACGACTAGCTTCATGCTCTCCTTCTCGCGACCGTCTCTACGACCCTCCGCGAATAACGCAATAGCGCATAGAGCTCGACTGGTGATATCATGCCGGGCCTTCCATCTGCTACCTTGGCTGCTGTTTCTGTCTCTGATTTCACACTCACGCATTGTGTTCAGCCTCGCCGAGCCGGGCCTCGTCACCTCTGTGTGTTGCCGTCTGCTCTCCCAACTTAGCACGCCTGCATCACGCTTGCACTGCCTGATTAACCCAGTTGACCCGCCCCATTTTCCCGCGCCTACTGCTGCTGCCCCCCGGTCCTTCCTGTAGGTTGTTTGCCTTGTATCGACTGCCTTTGCACTCGACCTGCCTTTGCATATTGGCCAGCTAGTTCATAGCCCTCTTGCCGACAGGAGTGACCCAGGTGCTAAAAGCACGTTTCATTCGTCCCAGCGTTTCTTACTCTTGTTGCATAACGCATGGGGTGTGAGTCTGGATGTGTGTAGGTATTGGTGTAGGTGTAGGTGTTGGTGTAGGTGTTGTTCAGTGTTGAGGGTTTGCCTCCCCTCTCTAGCCCTCTTCATCCAGCTAGTCTAGCGACTGGGCTAGCACTCGATTTGTTCCTCCATCCTTGCTGGCTGCCTCTCATTTCGCATCAGCTTCGCTTGAGTCACGATACTATTATTTTCAACCCTATTCAATCTGCATTTTTCCCTGACCTGTGGTACTGAGGCTCTGTTTGATAGATACCACAACTGAATTATTTGTCCAGATGTTTATGTTTAACTGGCTATGATGAATTGAACATAAGGTCGCTATCAGTATGACAACTAGCCAGACGAAACTGGTAGGCCTTGACAACAATCGGGCCCCTGTTAGTTTCAAAACAAATTGTTACCAATTGCTTGGTTTATATTTTGATGTTTATATGTGTTTCGGTATCTTCTTCTTAGGTACATATGATGATGTCTATACGCTTATATAATTTCATGCATGTTTCATTCATTTTTCTTATGTGGAATTGAGTCCCATTTGAGACATGGGTGTTATCGCGTCTTGTAGCTAAAACTGACTGGTTTTCATTAGCTCATCAGCCACAGCTAGATAAATTACTACCATCATATCATCTCTTTTTGTAGACGCAGATTAATTTTAAGTTGAAGATGTCTGAGACCTAGGCTTTCCTTAATTACAAAGCCCTCTTGATTTGATGCGGGCCAATATTGGATATGATAATGGCATGAAAACCCTGCTTCTCCTCATATAATGTTGGATATATTAACGGTCTAAAGATCGCTGTCCGGAGGACACACTAGTTTCATTCGTATTTCTTGATAGATGATCTAGAGAGCTATCAAATAATGAGCTTTTATCGTCTATACTCTCGTATTTAGCTTGGAAACCACGGAATCCAACTAACGGAAAATTGGGATGCCCTTCAAGCCATCTTGACTTATTTGGGGCCCGTTGATTTAATTGCTAACAAGGGTTGCGAAAGAGATAATGTGGAAATATTAGGCCGATAAAGGCATATAGAAACGTATACTTCCCAAGGCAAAA